ATTCCCTAAATCGGTTATATTTACTCAACTCGTAAAACCTTTATCACAATCATTCATTTTTTTCGGGAGCCTATGCTGCTCGTTTCTGAATGTATCTACATATTTGACTGCTACGTCCCTTAAAGCTCTTATTCGCGCTTCATGATAATCATATAAATTTTGCACGATCTGATAACAAATTCATCAGTCGAAACCTATCGGGCAAGAAGTGGTTTAAAACTTTTGTTTTCTTTTAAATAAGGGTCACTTATAAGCCGATTAGTGATTATGGAACATCGTCAAAAGTGAATAGCCCCCAACGCCTTAGTGTGCTTAAAATTGATTTGAAGTAAATTGAACAGAAACCACTTGAGAGGATAAGACTAAATCAAAAGACGGTGACAGAAAAACTCTTTAAGATACAATTTTGAATGGGCGAAACTTCTCTCTTCAACTGAATTCTATCTTTGGCACGATGAAATACATATTACGGCAGATTTTTATTTGCCTCCTTCCTCTTCCTAGCAAACTGTAAATGATCGTTGCACTAGCTTCTGGTGCTACAACGTTTCCATCTATGAAAACCGTCCTCCTAAGATTGCACGTTTTTGTTTATTCTACACGTCTTACTTCTGTCTTTATTAGTTTCGGAGTCGAGGCTATGCAGATGAATTATATAAGAGAAGCCTTAGTTTACTTTAAAGACTCGAGTTCCATTTTGAGGCCCGTGTTGGTACATGGTCGACAAACCCCGACAAACTAGCGGTTTGCCCTAAATTAATTCAGGTTCACACATGGTTTTAACTGTTCTCAGTCGACTGCCTATAAATATAAGCTCTGTGTCGTAAACATTTCAAAAGAAGACAGTCGCTCAAAGATTCACGCAGCCAGTGAATTTGTACTCTGACTATAAATTAACATGGAGTTCTGCCCAAATCTATAAGTTGCTTCCTCGAAACCAACACTTCAGAACACGTGTCAACGGAAAGCAGGACATTTTGCAGAACACCGCAGGCGCCCTGAAGTAATGATACACATTTTCCTCATTGCTTTCTTTCAGCTTCACGGCTATTACTGATCTCCAGTTCGCCCTAGGCCTTACGACTTGTTTATATACCCCACCCATTTGGAATTCTACTACTGTGGTCGAACATTTATGGTTGTAGAGCTAATACACCCATAAAGACGAGAGCTTCTTGTGGCATATTAATTAAATTTTTTTCCCCACTAAAGCAGCTTCAAACTTTGGCTTTCGGTACTATTATCTGGTTATGCGATGATAAAGTAGGCAAGCTTCACTTACGGTTTGCCCTCAGGAGGTATTTCATGCGTATTGGCCCTGGATTTTCCGAACGCTCAATAAATATGCTTTCAGTACAGTTGGACGGAAGTCGGGCTTGAAAAACATTCTGAAACCTATGGAGAGCATAACACAGACAACTATCACTATAAGCGAAGATGTGAGTCCCAGGAATTAATTTAAAAGACGTAGGAGTGACAGTTGGACCAAGACTTTTATTCGCCTGACGTTTCCGTCGCGGATCTATCATCAGAGACAAAGCAGAAACGGGTAGTTCGTGCACAGGCAGTTGTATAATTTATAGGATATGGTCACCTTGCTACTGCATACCTATGACAATTAATGATTCCTCTATCAAGTATAATTGCCCAC